ATCCATATTGATAGTCATCAACACTCTACTTCTCCCCGATAATCATCATCCCTAAACTCTCTGCCGTAATGTCTTCATAATCTCTACCATAACGATCTCTATCCCGACCGTACGAGTCCCCATATCTGCCTCGGTCATCATCCCTATAGCCATACTCTCTTTCTCTCCCATAACCATTCTGTTCTTCATCTCTACCATAGCGGGCCTTCATCGCGATCATAATCATATCTGTCACCATATCCTCCAGAGCTTGAATATGAACCAGGCCTATACATTCCACTTGCTGCTGAGCTGCGAAATCTGTGATACAAGGTGTCAAAAATCCCACAAGAATTTAAATTCCTATTGAAGGATAGAAATTAGTAGCTCACTGCTTATTTGAAGATGTATTTATCATGAGAAAGGGAAAAACCAAACAGAAGATAGCACTCAAAGCTACAGGAGGAAAAATACAGATGCCATTTACACAAAATGAAACTTTAACAAGAGTGCAATAAATCAAGCTATGTTTGTCTGAAGTGATGAAGATAAGATTATATATAAAATATACTTCCATGCGTATAACTTCATATACAAGTTGATAACAAAAATGAAAGAATCAATGGCAAAACAAACGTGTAAAATGCTACAGTAACTTGCCAGCCTGAAACAATGTCAAACATAGATGTTCATTTGTATATGAAGAAGCAAAGGGCCTCAGGCATACCCAAGTGCAGTTACACTTAGGATACTGAAATTAAAAACAGTGAGACAAGCAGTTCAGACTAAGACAGCAGATAACTGCAGTGAAAAATTATAAGTGGAAAAGGGATCATATTGTAATCAACTCTGAACTCAATTGCGCATCATTTAGCTTGATGGTACAAAAACCAGCAGAAAAGTAATTTAAAAACAGAGATGCGCACCCAGACAGAGAGAAAAGACATAAAAAAATCAACTGTTGCCAACTCTTTCAGGGAGAAGACTCACTTGTCTCGGTTAGCGGCAGCCTTCTGCCGAACTTCAAATATTTTTTCTTTGTCATTCACTAAGACCACAAGGCCCTGAGATTTCTTTCTAACATTGTTACCCTGATCCCTTCCACTGGAATCAATATATTGGAAGTCGGACAAAGTCTGCAAATTGAAAAAGGCATTTTGTTAAAACAAATAATTTGTAGGTGCTAATTTACTTGAAGTTCTCATTGGTGCAAATAATTGCAAGATTGTGTAAGGAAATGAACATTACAGATATTTGATAAGCATGTTCTCTAATCTCATCTATGACCCGCTCTGACCCATGAGCTACCAGGTATTCCAAAACAGTCAAGGCCTGAAGCGCAATATAAAGAACTTTTCAATACAGTTGTTACAACAATATGTGGGGAAATAGTGTAGACCCAAGACATGTTGACATTCTTAACCTTGTAGACATGTCGCCAATTCTTCCAGTATCGCTAATCCTTTTCCATACTACTGGCATAATCCTCTGGTAATCATGACTGGATGAATTTTGATCAATTTAACTCCTATCCATTTTATTTAAAAAAAAAAGTGGCAAAGCACCCATAGAGCGGTTATTGCTTACTAATTTCTTGTAGCTTGCGCAATGTCTGCAAGAAGAGATCCATGAGGGACCCCAAGGCTCATTGCTAGTAGCATCAAGGACCTGGGGAAAAACAAAGACAAGTAGATAACATTAAAATCACCTAATCATATTGGCAAAACATTCCAAAGACCAACTCTCAGACAAGGAACAGTAGCCCCAAACAAACTTCCATTACATTTTAAATATACCTATACAGTACTGCCACCCACTAATGCTCTATAGTCAATGATAACATGTCAGCGTAAAATTCCTAAAAGAGATATTGTTTAAAAATGTGTTGATCTTTACCTTCTGCTCTATTCCAGAACTTGAGCACTTTCTGGTTGACTCTCTCTTACTGCAGA